CCTTGTCGAGCGAGGGCAGCAAATGGGTGTAGGGTTTCGCGTCGAAGTCAGGCAGCACCTGCAGCAGATCCGTCATGGGCCAAAGTGTCGCATTTGCGCGGCTCTGCGGATGGCACGCGCGAATCGGTTCCGGACTCGCCTTTTCGGTCAAATGTCACGGACGGAGAGGTTGGACAGACGTGGACCGTGGGGTGCTTGACGCGTGATGAAATGTGTTCGCGTATGTTCGAGAAGCTCTTGGCCGCTAGTTGGTTTAGTCTTTAGTCCACAAAGACATGCCATAGTGGGGGTCTTCCGTTTCTCCTATGGTCCGTGTCCTACGTCACACCCTGCTCCCCGCTTCTCCACACGTTGGCATACATCAGCCAACTCCTCCAATCCTAGCCCGCCCAGCACTAGGCCCAGACATCGACGCCTCAGGTTACTCTACGTAGAGCTCGTGAGCAATGACCGCATAGGCGCGCAGTATCCTCTCCTCCAAGTAGCTACACACTATAGTCCCATCCAACGCGAGTGCCTTGTAACCGTTGTCGTAGAATTGCCCAAGCATATTTCTCCGATTAACCGGACCACCTACGCGACGGTGGGTGTCCTTTATAAGTTCGCGCTACCGCCGACGCTTCCACTCGTCCGTAACATAGATAGCTGGTTTCTAACAGGCCCACTAGTACACCTCGGGAGCAGCCTTGCGCGCCTACCGTATCCTCACGACCGAGTCTCTCTGACATTTGCTGTGCTTCCACCGCGGCTCATCTTTTCCGGTCCTACATCCTTGTCCTGCTGCATCTTGGAGAGCACAATAACGCCCATTGGAGTACAGTAAGTTGTTGCGCAAGAGTGTACATTGACTACAGCAGCGACAGCAGCTTCATTCAGCTTTCAGAACTGGACAAGACGTCAAACTATTCGCACCTCATTTAGGGCTTGACGCTACTGTGTAAGTTGCATTCTCCTTGCATGGGCCTTTCGTTGGTTCACCACATCGGGTCATTCACCTCTCTGGTCTGCCATGGTCCGCGTCACGTTCCGGGTCAGCGGTCGGCTACCTGAGCGGCATACTTGCATCACCTTGTCTGTTTATTACAAAGCCTATCGCGCGTTTCACATGCCCAGTTGTCGTGTGGACCCGCCCCAGACATACTTTCCCCATTCGTCTCGAGTCTTATAAGAAGCTTCCCTTCCCAAGTACCTTGATGCCTCTTCGCGAACTTTGAGTACCCATGCCGGCCTACTGTCTTCAGGACTGTCACTATTTCTATCGCAGTGCCCTGCGGCATCTCAACATTGCCACCTCCATCTCTCCTCTCTACGCGTAACTGACACACTCGTCATGGCAGTCCGCACTTTTACCCAACCGTCGTCCCTTGAGGACACACTAGTCAAAGCATCCAAGATGTCTGGCTCAGAAGCCAACGATACCACTCGCTCGTTGGAGAACGCAAAGAACAGCACACAGTCTCACTCTGCAGAGGCACAGGCACCGTTAGCAAGCCATACCAACCCAAACTCGAGACCAGGCATTACCTTCGCACACGAAGACAGTCTTCCGAAGCTTCCCATCCCAGAGCTAGACAGTTCATGCAAGAAATACATCGCTGCTCTCAAACCCTTGCAATCACCAAAGGAACATAGCGACACGGTTCATTCCGTAGAGGACTTCCTCAAGACAGATGGACCAGTGCTTCAGGAAAAGTTGAAGAAATACGCTAGCGGAAAGAACAACTACATTGAGCAGTTCTGTAAGTACATGCCTTGTATTTCAGACGACAGGAATGAGCAGTTTTAGAGGTGGTTTCGTGATTGATAGTTGAAAGTGTCATTCATATCCATGCATCATACGCTGACCTATCGCTAGGGTATGATTCATATCTGAATTTTGACAACCCGGTGGTACTTAATCTAAACCCATTTTTCTTACTGGAGGATGATCCCACCCCAGCTCGCAACAACCAGGTCACTCGCGCAGCCTCATTAGTGGTCTCGGCACTGTCGTTTGTCAGAGCTGTTCGTCTAGAAGAACTACCGCCTGACACCATCCGCGGTCAACCGTTGTGCATGTACCAATACTCAAGACTGTTTGGTACTGCTAGGATACCCACCGAAAATGGATGCCAGATCGGTCAGGACCCTACGTCCAAGCATATCGTTGTCATGTGCTACGGCCAGTTCTATTGGTTCGATGTTCTGGATGATAACAACGACCTGATCATGACAGAAAAGGATATTGCGCTCAACCTCCAAGTCATTGTAGAGGACGCACAGGAGATACCGATTCAGGATGCTGCCAAAGGAGCACTAGGTGTGCTCAGTACGGAGAACCGAAAGGTCTGGGCAGGTCTCCGCGATGTGTTGCATAGGGAGGAAGGTTCAAACAACTCTGACTGTCTCAACATCGTCGACTCGGCACTTTTTGTCTTATGTCTGGATTACACCGAGCCACAAACAGGTGCCGATCTCTGTATGAATATGCTTTGCGGTACGAGCAAGATTGAGCGCGGTGTTCAGGTGGGAACATGCACCAATCGCTGGTATGACAAGCTGCAAATTATCGTTTGCAAAAACGGAAGTGCTGGAATCAACTTCGAACACACCGGTGTCGACGGTCATACAGTGCTAAGGTTTGCATCCGACGTATATACAGATACTATCCTCCGATTTGCCAGGACTATCAACGGTAGTGCACCAAGTCTGTGGGCTTCTTCGAGCCCTGATCCCGCGAAGCGCGACCCAGATAGCTTTGGCGACGTACAAACAACACCCCACAAGCTTGAGTGGGACATGTTGCCGGAACTTAGCACAGCACTTCGTTTTGCCGAGACGCGCCTGGCAGATCTTATTCAACAGAACGAGTTTGCGACTCTAGAATTTCCTCACTATGGAAAGAACTTCATGACTTCGATGGGTTTCTCTCCTGATGCTTTTGTTCAGATGGCCTTCCAGGCAGCGTACTATGGTTTATATGGACGGATAGAGTGCGTATACGAGCCCGCCATGACCAAGATCTACTACCATGGACGTACGGAAGCCATCCGGTCCGTGACGGAAGAGTCAGTTGACTTTCTGACAACATTCTGGGGCGAGAATCCAGCAACGCAAAAGATCGAGGCACTCCGAAAGGCTTGCCAGAAGCACACTGAGAACACAAAGATCTGTTCCAAAGCCCAAGGGCCTGACCGACATCTTTACGCCCTATACTGCATTTGGCAGCGTGCCATCGACGAGTCAAACGATACAGCTAGCAGTGATGGTTGGGACTCTACGCGACCATCCAGTGCTGATGCATCGGGTGTAGGATCACCCAACCGCAACTCAGTACTATCAGAGAACGATTCCATCTCCAGCTCACCACCACCAGCGCCAATGCAACACTCAATGCCCGCCCTCTTCGCCGACAGTGGCTGGGACAAGATCAATCAAACCATTCTCTCCACCTCAAACTGCGGCAACCCTTCCCTCCGTCAATTTGGTTTCGGCCCAACGTCCGCCGACGGATTCGGCATCGGTTACATCATCAAAGACGGCAGCATCTCCATCTGCGCCTCATCCAAGCACCGCCAAACTTCGCGCTACATCGACGCGCTCGAATCTTACTTCTTGGAGATTCGCAAACTCCTCCGTCAAATCAAACGCCGCGGTACCTCAGCCGATAAAACCGCAACCCGTGCCCGCGAAGCAGAAGACAGACCCCTAGCCAGCCGTCTTAAGAGCAGAGGCAGAATCATTCTAGGAGACGGTGGCAAGCAACAGACGCCCGCAGAGAGTATAGTAGACGATGACGACGACGACGGTCTTGGCGGATGTAGGACTCCCCCTTCCCCTCCTTCCCTTCTTTCCCTCGATGAAGTCTCGAGCCATGCTTCTTGTTCCTCTTCTCCTTCTACGCCTCCTTTCCCAAGAATAGGCGGCTTACCGCCTACGCCTCCTCACTCTCCTCCTTTTAAACCCATGACGCCTGTTTTGATGAGTTCGCCGCATAAGCCTATTCCAGTTGTCAAGACAGTCAAGGCGAGGAAGTTGCCGCAGTCGGCGCGGAAACCAATCTTTTATTCGTCTTAGTGTTTTTCTTTTCTTCTCTTTACTTCATTTCATCGTCTATCATTTTCTCAACACGAGTCATTGTCGAGAGCATGGGCAGCATTGCAAGAGACTTCATTCCCCATCACCACTTCGTTCTACCCACAAAACCTCCTTCCATATGTTTCATTTTGGCTGATTCTTGGTTTTCTTCCGCAATTATAGATGGCTTCTTCGATGCGGGAATGCTTCGGCAGGCACTCAACGCCAATCGAGCGCAGAACGAACCCGTCGAGCGCGACGTGATACGCAGGAATATTGGGCGGAGGTTGAGGTTGGCTGAGTACTGAGGTACTGAGGGCTGAGTAACTTTGGTTTCGTGAGAAGAAGGGAAGCAGAGAGACGAGGGCTGGGCTGGTCCTGTCGGGATCAAAGTTGTAGATAGGAGAACGCGGCACAGCGGAGGTTTGGAAGTGAATTGGATATGTATGTAATGGATGCGAAAGTACATGTAGGAGTATAAAGTCCAGCGCAACGTCATATTCATCCATGTCGAAACTTGAGGTATAGTCAATATGCCACCGCGATCGCAGTCCTGCTCGTGGCTCCAGCAACAATAAGCCTGTTAAGTTACAATTCCCAACATCAGAGATACCTTCGTGTAGCTCAGCATCCTCGGTACCGCTTTACAGGGATAAGGCTGCCACGTCAACTTGTGGGCGCTTAGAAGCGTGGCGCAGCTATGGAACACTCCTACCTCGTTCACCGGAGGTCAACAACGATGTTATTACTGCCTTCTTTTCTCTTCCTAAAAGGCGCTCTGGTACAGTTGTACATCTCGCAATTCAATACTTGCTTGGCTGTCCTTTTTTCGTGCTACGGGGCATCGCGATCATTTATGCTTCAGCCCTTCTACTTATACATTCGTCTCTCTCTGGAGACCCTAGTATCGTAATTCACTATACTTACCCAGGGCACCCTTCAAAATGAACTCCGAAACTTTGCTAGAAAGCAAGGAGAGCGCGACAGGTGGTACTGTCGACTCCTCCCGGAACAATCAGCACCCACCGCTGTGGTTAGCCGCAAAGAATGGGAAGGAGGATGAAGTCGCGGAGTTATTGTTCAGTACGAGTAAATGGCGCAAAACCATGAAAGATCCAGATGGCAGAACTGCGCTGTGGTGGGCCGTATCGACCGGACAAGCACGAATAGCAAGATTGCTGATTGCGACGGGGGAGTTCGACATAAACGAAATACCTGATCATCATCATGGGCTATTGCATCAAGCTGTACGATCCAATTACATCGCTGTAACTAAAGCCCTGCTCGATCACGGTGCCATAGACGTCAACATCAAAGACACCTCGGGTTTCGATAACCCGAACAAGCAGACACCGCTACATCTGGCCACGGATCGAGGCCGGAAAGAGATTGTGAAATTACTACTTTCACATCCTAAAATTGGTGTGAATTCTCGAGACGAAAATGGCGAAACTCCACTCCATACAGCTGCGAGGAAGACTCGTATGGAGATACTATTACCATTGCTTCGACATCCTGGCATCAATGTGAATTCTCGAGACGCGAGCGGCGGAACTCTACTACACGCCTCTGCAACTGAGGGCTACATGGAGATAACAATGCTATTACTTGAACGCCCTGACGTCGATGTAAATTCTCGAAATGTAGTCGGTGACACTCCACTACATAAAGCTGCGAGCAAGGGTCATATGAAGATACTCGTGCTATTGCTTGCACAAGCCGACATAGATTGGGCCCCACGCAATGGGTACGGTTCAACCCCACTTTACCTGGCCGCGAAACATGGGCATGAAGAATTGGTAGATGCGTTACTAGATACACCAAATTCGGAGGCCATGTTAGATATTGGTCAAGACGAGTACGGTCGCTCACCACTACATGCAGCTGCAGAGAATGGCCACAGGGGTGTTGTGAAGCTATTACTTGCACGTAATGGCACTGGTCCAGGCTTGCGAAACTTGTGTGGTGAAACTCCACTGCATCTGGCTGCGGGAAGAGGGTATAAAGGTGTGGTGGACGAACTGCTGGCTACTTCTGACTCGAAAGACATGGTGAATCTCCAAGACAAGGAAGGTGAAACGCCACTGCATAGAGCTGCGCTTGGTGGATATGAAGACTGTGTCATTACGCTTATGGATCGTGCAGATGTGAATGTACAAGACCAAGAGCTCCGCACTCCTCTACATAGAGCCGTGCGGGAAGAACATCGCTGGGTGGTGAAGCACCTGCTCAAAAAGCCTGGAATTCTTATACATGTGTCAGACAAGAATGGATGTACGCCGCTGCACTTAGCCCTGCGCATGGGACACGAAAGTGTTGCAAGGCAACTTCTAGAAGGTTCTGGCTTCGGCAAGAACCCAAAGGATACATACAGCAGAGCTCTCTTCTCTTGTGCCACTCAAACAGGCAACGCGCCGATGCTAAAATTGTTGCTGGAAAGTCTCGAACCCAATGATATTGCGGATATCAACGCCCTAGACGAAAACGGACAAACATTGCTGTGGTCAGCTGTAAAACGCCAAGATATCGATGTGATGGAATTGCTCCTTACAAAGGATGAGGTGACCCTGCATTTGCTAGTTCAGAGAGGGGAATGGTTCTTAGTGAGAGTCTTGTTAAAGGCTGGCTACAACGTCGATATCAGAGACAACCTCGGTCGCTCGGCCCTGCATATCGCAACGATACTTGGTCACTTCGATATAGCGAAGAGCCTCGTATCCTTTGGAGCGAGTGTCGACTGCAAAGATGGGCGAGGCAACACAGCATTACGTCTAGCAATACAACGAAAGCGATGCAATTTTATCGACATGCTTCTTGAGAATTCTGCAGACATAACGGGAATCAGAAAACGTGAGTGGCTTGATGCGTATGGTCAAGAAGTACCAGATGCTGTATATCTGGTGGAAGAGCTGAGTGGAGAGAAGACTATACGTTCCATCAAAGCAGCGGTGATTCCAGATATCATCAGGCAGATGCATAACGCACTAAAGACAGAGCGTCGTCTCATGTAAGTTATAGAGCTGATTTAGGTGGAAGCAATAAGCTCACAGAGTCATATAAGGCTGCTAGCCAACGAATTGCCATGGAAAAATGGCTTATTACATCCTTCCATGGTGCCAATACGGCCGAATGTGCTAGAGACATCTGTTTCAAGTCCCTCTAGAAGCGGTAAGGTTCGTTTCTCCGTCGCGATTTGGTTTCCTGCTGGCTTCGACAAGGTGACCGGAAGTCATTTCAAGGTGCCTGATCGAGGCACGTGTAGAGTCACATGGAGCACATCATCAAGCACGAATGTAAACGAGGAATCAGGGATTGGACCAACGAATTACTTCAGCATGCTTCCTAGCGGCAACATTCCAAAGAATGGACTTGACTTCTTCGCACAATTCTTATCCCACCTGAGAGAGGTGTGGCTGGAAACATGTGATCTAGCTGAGCAACATTTGGCTGAATGTGTAAGTGAGCCTCTTACAATGACTCCATCGCATCATCTCATCTCCGGTATGTCTAATTGAATCTACAGCGCATCAATCAACTCGAAAAAAGAGGTAGTGACCGTGAACTCATACTACGGCTCGCACAAAACGCGCAAACATGGGCTAACCTTCGCAAAATCTTGAAGGAACAAACAAAGACTGCTCAAGAGTTTGCTTCCAGTTACGCCTTTCGCTACAACGGAATCCAGGGCTCCGATGAGATGGATACTTTGCTATCTGATTTCACTACTACGATAGGTAGGCGGCTCGACGGGCTCGATCAGACCGTAAGAGATCTGCTGCAGCTGGTACGTTCCGTCAGCGGACTTCCGAGTAAACTCCCCCCAGCTCATTTTGTAAAGGAATTCGCCTGGGTATCGATACACGATGTTCATAGGTCGATCAGTATCGCTACAAGCACGAAACGCCTGAGCTGGATAACGGTATGAAATCCTCGCTGTTGTAGCAACTAGACGAGACTGCTTACATGTACAGTTCATCTTTCTTCCTGCAATGTTTACATCGGTGAGTCAATGTGGACCCGCGCGAATTTGACGTAGACTAATGATGCTGTTTTCAGAGCCTGTTTGGCATGAACGTCGATATCTTGAAAGACAACCCTGACTGGCGCTGGTTCTTCCTCGCTGGAAGCATTTGTCTGGTATCTACCATATGTGCTTGGCTGATCTTCAAGTACTGTCCAGTGAGTCAGTTGTCTGGCGTCCTCCGATAATGCTAATAGACCTGATAGATTGAATCATGGATCGAGAAAGAGGTCGGACAAAAGTTACGGCGCATTGCGAAGGTTTCCGTACAAGTTGCTGCTGAACGAAAAGGATCAAAGGAGCCGCAGAAGTTACCTACCTGAGTGGATCGAGAGACGTTTTCGAGACTTTTTTTCTTTCTTTTTTACCAGCGTCTGAAGGTTTCCACCTCCGCAAGCATTTGGCCATTCTGTGATCGTCCCGTGATCTTAGCTGTATCAAGCACTCTACACTGTGCTTGTAATCTATAAAAATCAATACTACGAAGCAGTTCTATACGAGACTTTTATATCAATTAAACATGGCGATCCGTTTTCAACAAGACACATGTAGACAACAACCGCAGAGCAGAGGGAAGTAGAATGCATCATCACATTGTTCTTTCAAAATGTCTAGAGTTATATCATCCACCAAAGAGAGACTCCACCCTAGGAACACCTTCGCTAGCCCTTGCTTTGAAAAAATCTTTGATGCATGCCTTCACCAGCCTGATATCCATAACCCTAGATACCCCTGTTTCACCAAAAGAAGCCCGATGCTAAGAAGATGTTGTTACAAAAAAGAGCAAACGTCCTTTTTGCTCTCAAAATAGAGCAGAGAGAGTTTAGTCGGTGATTCTCCAGCTCTCGAACCACTTGAGGTGTTTCCATTGGCTGCTAGGCCCAACCATACCGAAGGAGATGGCCCTGAACAGCCAGTACAGGAAGATGGTAGCAAGGTACAGTACAGCAAAGATGCCCCACTGTACCTGCTTGTTCAACTTCCTTGTGGTGAAGTCCAAGCAGAAGCCCATGACGATGATGGCAAACCACAAAGCGGGATAGTAGTGGTGCACATATGTGACACGGCCCATGGCGACGAACGGTGCGTAGTGGAGAGCCCAGCCAATGATGGGATAGATACCTGCGTAGTGGAACAAGTCGATTTCCGATTGCTTCAGGTCATTGAATCCACGTTGCCAGCGGACGACGTAAAAGAGGAGAAGAAGACCGAAAATGCCTAGCGAGGCAGTGCTGCCCCAGTAGACCAAGGGGTTACCTAGGAGGAAATACTTGACGACTGTGGTTATGTTAGTAACGGAACGAGGGCAAAGTGAGGTGCATGCTTACTGTCATCGTTCCAGCCGCACATGCGGAGACCGACATGGAGGATGGGCCATTGCCAGAAACTGGAGGCGAGGTCGTCTTGCTTGTCGGGGTCAGGGACAAGTGCGTTGTTAGATGTCATCATAGCAACATTAAGATGAATAAAGTCCTGGAGGAAGGGAGACTTGTAGTCACCAGGGTTGCCTGGCGGCAGTTTCTCGTTGGTGTGGCTTTCAATGTTCCAATGGGTGTAAACATCGCGAGGGTTGTTCTTCTTGACACAGGTTGTCTCGATCTGCTTGAAACCCCACTGAGGTAGGTTGACATTGCCAGCGCGGAGGTAGCAGCCCAGATCCTTGTGCTTCAGACGGAAAGCGGTAGTAAGCGTCCGGAGCTTGGAGTAGTCCCTCGAAGCAGCGTCGCGTACGACCTCAACAACCCAATGGTCCTTGGTGTCACCAACAGTTGTGTTGCCATAGCAAGAAACTTCCCAATCACTCTTTGTAACAGGGGCAGCGACTTGGTGCGAGTGAAGGTTACGGCCAGTCTGGGCGTGGATCAGACGAATAACGTCACCGTTGCCAGGGTAGCGGAGCTCCTCCTCAGGATTGTACTCGACCTCGTGGCGGTTGGGGTAGAAGAACCAGTCGTTGTTGGCATCCTTGTGGTGGTAGCAAGTGATCTGCTGCTGGGCAGAGCCCTCGGGGTATGTCTGGACGTGAGAGTGGAGCAGTCCACCTCCGTATCCCATATTCTTCAATGTGGTGCGGGAACCGTATGCGATTTCCAGAGGGCTGTTCTTGCCAACCTCAGTTCCTCGCAGGTTGGCTTGGAAGAGAGAGCTCATTTGCGCATCGCCGGGACCGCTGTTTTCGAGGATGATGAAGTGGAGGTAGAAGGAGAACATGTAGACGGCGAGGGGGATGAGGATCAGACTGAAAACGCGGAAAGCGAGATGCGTGGCTAGCTCGATCTGTACACGTTAGTTTGATAACAGGCGATGGGTAATCTCACGTACCTTGGGCATCTTCAGGTCACCGAATTTGCGCCAGAGGTCTTCAATGGTGTACAATCCAACGAGAGCTGTGACGAAGAATCCAACCCACTTGACACTGCATACACAACCAATTGAAACTCCGGTAAGCATCAGCCACAGACCCCACTCAGGAGAGAATGGGTCATGTTGCTGACGGTGGAACTTGGACCAGCAGAAGACGGTAGTGAAGGTGAAGCATAGTAGCATAGAGTCAAGGAGGATAAAACGGCTGATAGTGGTGTACGAGTTTTCGCAGAGAACGGCCAGGGTAACGAACCATACGGTCGGACGGCGGAAGTTCAATTCTTTGGCGGTAAAGTAGGCCAGGGGAACGCAAACAGCACCAAAAGCCGAGTTGAAGAGGCGCATGAAGGTGTAGTTCAGCTCCGGGGGGTACGTTTCTCCGGACTTGAACTCGAACGAGCCATTGTATCCTGCAAGGTATCCGGACAAACCGACGAGCATCTTTCCGAGCGGTGGGTGGACATCGAAGTAGAACTCGCGCTTGAGGTAGTGTGAACCGAACTTGCCAAAGCTGCACCAAGTCAGAACTAGTCATGTATGCGTCGGAGTTGATGGACTTACTGGGCTTCGTCCCAAGTGACGATTGGCGAGAGGCCAATCTTGTACATGCGTGTGAAGAAGGCGAAGAAGGTGAATATAAGAGGTGCCCAGATGAATTCGTAGTCGTCCAGGAAGGAAATAATGCTGAAAGGCTGCGGTTTGGTTAGCAACGAGTCCCTGCAGCCACCAGAATATTGACAGCTCTGATGCGGCTTGTACAAGACGGCGTACCTTGTCCTTTGACTTCTCCCTCTCTTGTGCCAGTGCAGCGATTGGCGCTGCGGCCTGTGATGGCGCGGCTACATTTCTCCTCCGCAGCTCCTCTGCCTGTGCATCGGCGCCCGTCGTGTGCGCAGTCGATGCCATGGTGATGGGCGGTGGCTGTTTCCCTGGTTGTCTCCAGATACTATTGCGACGTCGTGAAGAAGGTGGAAGGGATTCGTGGCTTGAGGCTGGATTTGGTAGTAAACGGTTGGTCGGTACCACGGAGCTTGAGCGACTACGCGATGCAGTCGGTCGGTCGGTCGCAACACGACTCGAGAGAAGGGAATCAATTAAAAGTGGCCGTGGGCCGTAGAAGAGAAGCCCAAAGCAAGTGAAGGCATAAAAGGGAAGCTCACGGGGTGGGAGCAATGGAAGAATCTCCTGCGCTGCGAGATCGAGGAGGTGGGCTGTTCCCGAATTAGACTACAGTACGAGCAAAGGAAGCTAGAGCCCGGCCGCCGCATCAGGGCACGGGAGAAGCGACACCTGTTCACATCCATCACGTGAAGCCCACTATTCCATTCATCTGGCCCCAATCGCGCTTCCGAGGTGCCGTTGCAATGGTAATCTGCCTAGAGTAGTGGGTGGCTAAGCCGGGGAGGGGGACCATCATTATGCACGTCACCAAAGCCTATTCTCTACATCATGCTATGCTGAGAAAAACATGGTGATTTCGTCTTGTGGAAGACGCCTTTCTCTAACCTACTCAACACACAAACAACAAACGCCCAAAATATGCTTCGCATACTCTACTAACCCAAAAACTTCGCTCGATGAGCCATTGGCCCGTGATATTGGAACATGCGCATCGCCTGTCTAGATGATGCAGATATACGTAGGAAATGCAAAATTGTCAACGTACACACCGTGTGCTCTAGTTCTCGTCTTGTCCGACCTGCTTGTACTTTCCGCTCGAGCTATCGCCTTCGCCATTGCCCTTTGTCCTCTTGACCATGTTGCTGATCCAACCGCCAAGACCGTCGCCGTTCTCGGTATCCGCCTTGGCCATGTTCTTGTTGCCGCTCTCGATGTCAGGGGGGTCGATGCTGAGTCCAGGGATCGCGTCGTCTTGCGCACGGCGTCCGCCTCGGATATCAAGCGAGGGCACAGGAGAGCCACGACCTTCTCCGCTGAAGAGAGATTCGGCTTGCGCGAGAGTTTCCGGAGTGGGCATGACTGAAGTAGCGTCTCCGAATAGGGAGTTCATGTCTTCCAAACGAACGTTCGCAGTTTCGGGGTAGATGAAGTACACTAGATACAGTCAGTAAGTCGCTTTAGCCCACATTTTCCATCAAACTTACCAATGACAAAACTGGCTGCGCAGAAGAATGCGTGAATAAGGTACAATCGCCACTGGATGTGCTCCTGCAGAATCGGTGTCATTTCTCCAACCAGCCAGTTGAAAGCCCAGTTAGTCGCGGTACTCAGACTGGCACCCTTGGCACGAATGCTGAGAGGCAGGATCTCTGGTGGGTACAACCACGGAATAGGACCCCATGAGTATCCGAATGCGGCGTTGTAGATCATGACAAATATGACGACCATGTTGGGTGTCCAGGAAGCTTGCAGGAATTGGAAGTACGAAATGGCGGAGAGCGAAATCATCATCATAAGCGCTCCAGACAACAGAATCTTCCTGCGGCCTAGAGTGTCCACAATGTACCATGGCGGAATGGTGGATAGCAGGTACGTGATGGCGTTGATACCTGTCATCAGAATAGCTTGGCGACCGTACCAACCAGCCTCTTCGAAGACAAGCGGTGCATAGTACGAGATGACGTTGATGCCGTTGAGTTGCGCAAGGGCTTGGGCGGACATAGCAATGAAGACGCGTTTGGAGTATCGCTTGAACATGTCGGGGTATGATCGTTCACCTTCTTGACGTTGGAGCAGCACGTTCATCTTGATCTCTCGGTATTCATCTCGTGCTTTGGGGTTGTGAATATCGCCCTTTCCGTATAAATTGGCAATAACTACAATGCCCTCCTCGTCGTGATCGTTGTCCAAGAGCCATCTATATGTGTCAGCAGATTCCAGGGGCCGAGATCATGGTACAAACCTTGGAGACTCGCAAATGAGCAAGCTTCCTGCGGCCAAAAGAAGACCCATGATGCACTGCATAAAGAGCGGGACTCTCCATGACCAGTCGCTTTTGATATAAGTGCAGAAGTAGTCAACCCACACACTGACTGCGTAGCCTGTGATATTGCCAGTGAACTCAATGCAGCCCATCCTTCCTCGGTTGTGGGGAGGCGAGATCTCGGACTGGTATACAGGGACGATGGTGGAGAGCGATCCGACACCAAGACCAGCAATGACTCGTCCAAGAAGCATCATAGGAATGCCCGTCGCGCAGGTCTGAAGAGCACCGCCTACGACGAAGATGAGGGAGCCGTACAGGATGGTCTTCCGTCTTCCAATCACATCACCAATGCGGCCCACGACTAGCGATGAGATGAAGGCACCGACTTCGAGGATAGCTACCATTGAACCGATTTCGACGGCGGAAGGCTGGTTGAAGTAGTCCTTGAAGTAGATACCGCTGTCAGGTTGTTAGATACGGTCAAGGGCAGAGGGGTTCGCGACGGCGTACGTGATGATACCGGACATGACTCCCTGGTCATAACCAAACAGGAAGACGCCTAATGATACAAAGACACTTGTGAAGTAGCTGTTGCATTGCTGTTAGCTTGAGCACCCAGAGTTGGAATCTGTGCTGCATACATCAGCTTCTTGCCATGTAACCCGTGGATACGGGAGGGCCCATCGTTGGGTGCCATGATTTGGGCTAGTATCTTCTCTGCCTTTGAGATTGTTCGTGGTCCCGGGTCAGGTATCTCGATGTCTTCCAGACGAAGGCCGTGCGAGCCCTTCTCGTGCAGGTCCTGGGAGGCAAAGCGAGCTCGCTTTTTGCCTGGCCTCGATGAGTTGCCGGCTTCGAGGTTGATGCGGAGCGGATCTTCCCGGTCAGCTAGCTGGTCGACGAGGTCACCAGTGTCGCTCCAGACGGAAAGGTCGGAGTCGGAGGACGGCGTGTCAAACGAGGACCGCGCGCTGTCCTTATCGTGGTCGTCGAGCAGATAAGCGGAATCGTGGTCTCGCGGACGGGCAGAGGACGAAAGGTTGTGGAGCGGGATGTTGGCAGGCCTCCTGTTGCTGTTCGAGTAGGAAGGAATGGTGAAGGTGGCAGGCTGTTAGGGAGCAGCCCGACTCCAAGGTGGTGGGTGGATGGGAGAAGGAACGAAAAGGCGGCTCGCTGGGGGCACGTCACAGGGTCAAGCAGCCGAGACGAGGGATGTGGTAAAGCTAGCGCAAGAGCGGTGAGAAACTCGGTCACATTGGGCTACAGTGGAAAAAGACAGTGGGCACGATAGCGCTTCGTGATCAGAGATGCTGGAGCTGCAGTGCATGCGAACGAATGTAGGTCCCTGTCCGGGCTGCGCTGCCGGGGGCACTTGGCGGGAAATGGTGCTTCTTCCTGCTCGGTCCGAACATGCTGCGATTGGAGCTGCTGTCGAGTGCGCGGCGTGTCATGCACGATGATGTGCACGCACAGGACGGCCTTTGTTTGTTATCTTGACTGCGCCTGATGGACATGTACGCATCGCCATGTTCTTGCTATCACAATCGCCTGCCGTTGACAACATGGCTTGACAGCTACCCTTAGATCCCGCGGTGCAGCACAAGACTCCGGTACAGTAGCTCACGAGGCTCACACTACGCCTTGAAGGGGCCAACTAAAAGTGCACCACCAACCTTCCGCCATATACGGGGCCTTCCTGGAGTGGAGGCGGGTCACGTTGGGGTCTTGGTCTCGACGATTGGAGCCCCGCGTGGAGATTGACTGCAAAGCGGAAAGATAGCCGCGATCAACTTCGCACAACGCATGCGGTGTGTGGATATTCGTGTAGTAGTATTCGTGTAATGAGAAGGATGCAGTCTTGACTAAGCCGCAACAAGAAGCACGAGGCTACAGGACGACGTGTGGGCGAAGACGCAGGGCCACATGGTGCAGTTCTCGTGATGATCAAATAGCAGGGCACCGACACGTTCTCGCATGCTTCGCTTCGCGCGTAAAACGTGGGCTCGTGGAGACTGCCAAAATAAATGCTTTTCTTCGGTGTATACTATGTATAACGCGGCTGCTTTTGATGATGATGGATTAGACTTGTTTTTGATCGCAGACGCTCGTGCTCGAAGCATTTAATATACCCAACGCGTTCACGCGTTTCTAATCTCCCCCAAACCTATCGTCGAGTTACTATAGTTACTAGCGTTGAAACAGAAAACCGTCAAGGCCCATCCAATCGACACAGTAGACGCCGGAGACCCTCCTGACGTTTACAAGCTGCAGCTTCGCTTCAAGGACGAAACACGCAGCTCTCGCGGCCCCCAGGCCAACCTGGATACAAACACGGCGGTCAACGATCGAGGTCAGCAGTGGCTGGAATAGAGTTGTGTATTAGAGTTGTGTATCACAGGAAGGGTCGGGAGTCGAGCAACGCAACGACGCAGCAAGGGCAAGTCAATATAGCGAATGACTCCATTGTACCACCGGTAGAGTCGTTGTGCGTCATGCTGGATTTGACACATCAAGGCCCATGGCGCTCTGCCGCTGGATGCACATTGATCTACGGGCCCCCTTTCTCAAACGTACTAGCGCCGTCTATGCGCCACCTCTGATTGGGCACGTCTGAGATTAACGTGTTTGTTCGGCATCGTGGTTCCTCGTTTCTTGCTTCTGACGAGGGCCGGAGGAGATTCGCTTTGTGTGTTTCTAGAACTGTCACCGGGCATCCCTCACTATAATCGCTGTCGCAAAACCCAATTCAGGCCATCCATCGCAGGGGGTTGGCTTAGCGTAGAGAGACGATTTGGGACCAGTGAGATTGTGCAGCCACAAAATCACCCGCCCGCACGCCCTGGTAACCAGACATCGAAAGCTGGAAGGCTTGGCTTCGTGCATTGTTTCAAGGAAGCTCCCCCAGCCACAACCACATACGCTGCAGCGCATCATCTCTCTCCGCCGCAATCACTTCTCGATTCGCTTTCACCTCCACTTCCTATCGTGGTTGCGCCAATCTCCCTCGCTATCTATCGCAGCGCTCACAGCCTGATAACGATCGCTCCCCACAACAAAGGGCACCTGAAGGCAAGGCTGAGGCTCCGCTGCCCGAAACGAAAAAGACATGTCAAGATACGGCAAGTTCGATGACTTTTGTCGGGACTCTGGAAACAGCTGGTCAACTCTGCCGGGTAAAACAAACTCACGATACCTATCTTGTTGTCTATACTAACGCGCGACAGTTTGTTATGTATGTTGCGATCGCTGCACCCCTTTGCCCGCCCATTGTTCGTCGACGCGACGCTAACCCATGCTCCACAGCTCTTCAACCCAGCTTCGACAATAGACAACAACGGATGGCAAGATGGCTGCACCCTGCAAGGCTTCCCTGTGGGTGGAGGTGACCGGCTGCACAATTTGGGTACGAAGCATATGCGCATTGTGACGATGTTTTGCTCACACCACCAGGATCCATAATCATCTGCGGCATTGCAATCCTCACCACCCTGTTCCTGCTATGGAGATCACAAAGAAAGAAGGCTGCTGTAGGACGAAGGTGCGCAGTCATCCACGCGCATTGAGATTGCACAGCTAACAGCTCGCAGAGAAATGCAGCTCTTCCTCCTCGGCTACATCGTCATATCCATCTGCGAAATCTTTACTATTGGCGGATTCCCCCTCAACAGCACTGTGCGCATTGTATGTACTCAGTCCTGCATGTCGGAATGCAGAGTCTAATCTCACTACAGGTCTTTGTCGCTGTCCACATCGCTGCCATCACCGCCACGTCCTGGATCCTCATGCTCAACGGCGCCGTTGGCTATCAACTACTTGACGACGGCACGGCAGTATCCATTGGCCTCCTCTTAATCTCGTCGCTTGTCATCTTCATCGGAACCGGTTATATCGCCCTCGACACTGGACTCAACTGGACGGGTTACTGGGAGGACACTCTCTTTGTACCAAACCAAGCCTACGCGCTGTACACCCTCTACCAACTCGTACCACTAGTCTTCATCGTCATCTTCTTCTGTCTGGAGGCCTTCCTGGTGCTGCGCATTCTCGGCGAGCGCAAGCCAATGCGTAAGGAACCATCAAATCTTGTATACAGCTCGTACTAACTCGTCCCAGTATATCTGCTTGCCGCTGCTCTCCTCTTCGCCATTAGCCAAATCTTCCAATATGTCATCAGCGTCCACATCTGCAACGGCACCGACGGCAAGATCAACGGAGGTCTCTTCTCAACCCTCTTCACCCTCCTATCGGTAGTAATGATTTGGGTGTTCTGGTCGAGCATCACCGAAGACGACTGGCCTATGCCAACCGTCGCTGGTTCAGGCGCGTATAATTAGGAGTCGACCATTAGGGGTTGACTGGTAATCTCGGGGCTGTACAGGCAGCGGCGGCGTAATGTTCTTATGATGGCTTTTGCCCGACATAGCGTATACCATTTTGGGGCTCCTTGGACGCATTTGATGCGTCATGCGGACTTGTGCTACGATATATATAATGTTTGCTGAATGGAATCTATCTGATATTCAAGACCTGTCTTCACATGCAAAACATGAACATGAAAACGTGAGAGCGCGTCGAGCCTATCACGTGTGAGACACGCTTCCGCCCATGTGGATCCAAGATCGTCAAGTGAACTCACCACCATCCAAACACTCGGTGCCTGCCACAATTTAGTGAAACTGTAGCTGACGATGAGGAAGCTTGGACTGACATCTTCCGTTGTATCTGCCACCATCCAACATCACATATGAAGTTTATTACATCATAACATCGGTCTTTCTTGCGGCACACGACCTTACTTGGACGGACACGCCCGAGACCGAATCGCGCGCATCGTCCATTTAAACTCCACACGTACAGCCTCACATCCCAGCACGACGGCCACAGCTGCGATCGCTCGCCATTCAACGACCGCCGGACCTGCAGACCCACGCGCATACAATGGCCGATTCGGATTACGATTTTGATGACGAGAGTTCAGCCGACGAGTACGTTGGTGCGAAGAGTGGTACTTCAAGCACACGCGCACAATCTTCGGCGCCTGGCAAGAGGCGGAAAGTAGAGGCGCCTGTGAAGGAACCGCCAAAGCGGCAGGCATGGGAGACAGAATACTCGCGGACGGTCCAGAAGACGATAGAACCGGCAGACGATGGCACACTAGGACAGAGCGTACAAGAACGGGAAGAAGAGAGGAAGCGCAAAAGGTTACGGAAAGATACAAAGCCTTTCCAGCGAGGTATCATACGTCACGTCGTCCTGGTGCTTGATCTGTCAGAGGCCATGATGGAAAAAGACATGCGGCCCAACCGATACATCACGATGATCAACTACACACAAGACTACATCCGCGAGTTTTTCGAACAAAACCCTATATCGCAGATGAGCGTACTGGGTATGCACGATGGTGTCTGCATACGAGTCTCGGAGCTCTCGGGCAACCCAGCAGAACACGTTGCAGCGATACAAGGCCTGAGAAGCAAAGATGACGGCAAAGAGCCCAAGGGCGCGCCCAGTTTGCAGAACGCATTGGAACTGGCAAGAGCAACGTTATACCACACACCAAGCCACGGCACGCGAGAGGTCATTGTTGTCTTCGGGAGCTTGTTGAGTTTAGATCCGGGTGATATACACCAGACAGTCAAAGCCTGCGTACGAGACCGAATACGTGTCAGCGTAATTGGTATGGGCGCGCGCCTCAAGATCTGCACAGAAATTGTCACTCGAACAAACGCCGGTGATGAATCCGAATACACAATTGCAACCGATCAGGAAATGCTCAAGGAGCTCCTCCTCGCCACTACAACACCCCCCGTAATCCGTACAACAGCACCGGCAGTCGCAGCACCAGCCGCTCCGCAAGCCCCAGATCCTTCCTCCGCCGCAGCACTCATGATGATGGGTTTCCCATCCCGTGTAGTAGAAGACCAACTAACCATGTGCGCATGCCACGGCAACCTCACAATGGGAGGTTACACCTGTTCTCGCTGCAGCGCAAAAGTCTGCTCCTTACCTATCACCTGCCCCTCCTGCCAACTCACCTTACTCCTCTCCACCCATCTCGCGCGATCTTACCACCATCTCTTCCCCCTCCGCAATTGGTCCACAGTATCCTGGTCGCGCGCCCGCGAAAAGGGAAGTAAGCAGTGTGTGGGCTGTCTGGCTTCCTTTAGTGATCCGCCAAGCAGCAATAATGAAAGAAGTGAGGCAGAACAAGACGGCGAGGTCAACAAAGAGAAGAGGGACGAAGAGGACAGCGAAGAGCAGAAGGCGTCTGAGAGCGGGAGGTATGAATGCAGGGCTTGTGAAAGTCACTTCTGTATCGATTGTGATATGTTTGCGCATATGGTCCTGCATAATTGTCCTGGGTGTTTGGGGAGGTTGGATCCGGGGGCTGTTGCGCAGGCGAGTAACGGAAATGGGGATGTCGAGATGACAGGGTGAGAGATACTCCGTCTTCTTTAAGGAACATAGGTCAAGCGTAGAACGTGTAGACGTGTAGATGTCTAGTAATGAAATATAGAACGTAGAGCGGATACCCGGTGCGCTACGAACAAAGCGCGTATTGTACAGAAAAGACGACGCTGTCAAGATTGTTCTTTCCTTAGGTCTTTTGTATTGCAGATCCGAGATGTTGGACATGTCATCAATTTCGTAACAGTCCATTGTTGGGTACAACGCGTTCATGCTCTCGTTTCGACAATCTTCACACAAAAAGATCCCGTCGATTGCACTTCGGGAAACGGACATCTCCACATCCCAATGCCGAACGTCGACCCCGCGACGCGAACGTGGGGCAAATCGCCCGAACTCCACAACGCGCCTCTTGCATCAACACTCTTGACTGCTTCATAAGCTTTTTCCTTATCCCTGGCTCTATGTTCGCTAGCTCTCTTGTACGCTGCACACGTACTACTGCTACATCATCTAGATTGACTTCTTTCGTTCCAAGGTCACAGTCGTTATTATTGCCATTCCGAGTGAACTATCTCAGTACAACGACAAGAGCGATGTCGGCATTTGAGCGATTGATCCGTTTCGAGGACAAAGATGGGAAGACAGTATATGGAAATTTGGAAAAGGAAGTTCCGACAAAGGAGATTGAGGGGAGCAGCGTAGAAGTTCTGGAAGGAGATGTCAAGAGTGGGTTTAAGAAGACAGGTCAGAAGACTACTGTCGGAAAGGTATGTATTCGCATATCCATTGAGGACAAAATTAGAGCTCTCGGGAAAAGCTGACGGGAAAACAACATAGCTACTATGTCCTCTCCCAACAACAAACATCATCCTCTGCGTCGGCCTCAACTATCGCCGCCACGCCGAAGAATGCAATCTCCAGATCCCTTCCAACCCAGCCATCTTTACTAAACCATCTGACGCCCTCGCTGGTCCCCTAGAAGACATCCCCATCCACCCCTCCTGCCAATCCCAACTCGACTACGAAGGTGAACTAACCCTCGTCATCTCCAAGGACTGCAAAAACGTCGCGGCAAAAGACTATGCCGACTACCTCCTCGGCTACACAATCTCCAACGATGTCTCTGCGCGGAACTACCAGTTACCCGCTTCTATATCCGGCGGCCAGTTTGGATATGCAAAGTCTTTTGATAAGTTTGCGCCGGTTGGACCGTGTATTGTTTCGCCAAAGTTGATTCCCGATCCGCAGAAACTGAAGTACTGGACGAAAGTCAATGGGGAGAAGAGGCAGGAAACTGGCACTGACGATATGATCTTCAAGGTGGGTGAGGTGTTGGAGCATTTGAGTCGGGGGACTACATTGAGGGCTGGAACTGTCATTCTGACGGTAAGTTGAAACTGTATGAATTGCAAGTGAGACATATACTGACTTTGTGTTTTCACTTCTACAGGGCACACCGAGTGGAGTGGGATTGTTCATGGAACCGAAGGGTTTCTTGAAAGATGGAGATGAGGTGGAGGTGTACGTCGAGGGAATCGGAAGTATCATTAACAAGATGAAGTTTGAGTAAATGAAGAAGTGGCGGGTTACACCAGCAAGTGTAAACTTGCTGTGAAGCATACGACTTTTGCTGCGCATTGTACTCACAAAGAAAATCCATACTTCTATCGGTTTGGTGTAACTACAACCCTCACGAACCTGACAGACCAATATTGCCACCATGTTTGTAATCTTCCACTAAAGTAAGAATCAGTCAAGGGCTAAGCTCATTCAGGGAGAATATCAGAGCCCATACTACACGTCGAACCTCCATTGAGAATCAGCGAACCGTACTATATGCTCTCGATGTATCTCAGCCTCCTCCAGCTGCCAGCCAAATACCTCAGCCACGCGCGGCAGCCATACACTCTCAAGGTTTTTAACCCGCCCAACTGGCACGCCACTAACGCTCGTATATTCGAAAATATCCCGTGTTTCAGCCTGCTCTCTAATCATGTCTTTGGCGACATCTCTCAACTTGACTAGATGAGTAGGATCGATGCGGAAAAAAAGGACCCCGAATCTTTCTACAATACATTGTCCGGCGCTGAGTATTTTAACCTCAATGTCGCCATCGTAAATTACATACTGGGGATCTAGCTCACGCAGCTTACGCCAGATGAGTAGGACCATGGTTCGCGATAAGACTGGGCTCGTACACATGTCTAGTGAGTAATAATACGAGCGATCTGAACGATATCCTGCCACGAAGACGGGGATATTTGGAGGGTTTACAAAGAGAGCTTGACGACACTTGGGGCAGGTCTTCGACTGCCCTGCATTAGTATAGACCCATCGAGTGAGACAGGATAGCCCGAAGATGTGTTGGCATTTTGTGCGTGCTGCTATGTGTGCTCCTCGATCAAAGGCCCCCTGACAGATATCGCAAGTCTCAGTCACATTGGTGTAGACGATTTCGATATCGGCGAGGAACCGGACTCTGGTAGGAAGTGGTGTTGGTGATGACATGGTTATGGTAATAGACTGTGTCAGTGGACGAGACTCAGGTTGAATTTACAACAGGGTGGGTAATGCAAGTTATAAGAAGGTCTTGAGTTTGCTGTAGTATATTGTTTGGGCATGGATATTGTTCTTCTTCTTGTAAGTCATGAGTGAGTTTGTGTAAGCAGTGAGACACAGTCAAAATGGACAGATGCGGAATCCTTGGATGGAGAGTTGTCTAAACCTGAATGCCTAGAGGTCTGTACAGAAGAAGGGAATATCACTGTGGTTCGCAGTAGGCGTGCCAAGTGTGTATCTTTCTCCCTAATCACACTGAATGATGTTTGTAGTTGGTACTGAGACGCAGAGGGCGTGCGTCATGCCCACGAGACGCTAGTGCCCACGCTAATTTCGCAGTTACGTTGATGGCAGGCGACCAAGTGCCCAAACCATCAACTTTGAAACAGCACAACGAAAGAACCCAAATCCATCTCCCTTTTCAGACACGCGACCTACGTGTAGAAGTTACGCGAATCACCAACGCAACCAAAACAAATCACAACAATGGCCTCGGAAGTAGTCAACAAGCTGCAGAACCTGGTCACAGGGGAGTCGAAGAGCGCTCGCAAGAAGAAGGCCAAGCAAGAAGGGGCCACGGCAGTACCAGCAGCGCCTGAGCAGACCAACTCCGAGGCTGGCGCAGGCGGCTCTAACCCCGCCGGCAAGGCCAATGGATCCGACAGCGACAACTCGTACCTCCGTGAGGTCCAGAAGTAAGTCGCAGCCGCATTGTGGTTCAGACACCATGATTGCTACAACATATCAAGGACTCACTTACTAAGACGCGCTCGCGTAGGAACATCCGTAACATCAACAAGAAGCTGGTAAGATGACAGTCCCGTCCAGCCTTTACCCCACCTACCCTTGCTTACACCGTGTCTGCAGAGCGCAACCCAGAAGGTCGACTCGATAATCGCAGCGAACCCCGGCGTTTCTCTCGACGACCTCCTCGCCTCCAAGAAGATCAACGCCGACCAAAAAGCCCAAGCCGAGAGGAAACCCGGTCTTCAAGCTCAGCTTGCGCAGTACGAAGAACAATACACCAACTACAAGAAGTACGGTGATGAGCTCGAGGCCAAGTTCGCGCGCGAGAAGGAGGTCCTGTCCAAGTCACATTCATCGGAGCTGGAGACATTGAGGGGTACCATCAAGGCCGAGGCACAACTCGAGCAGCAGAAGATTGTCAAGGACAAGTTGCTGACACTGTCCCGCTTCTTGAGGGCTGCGGCTGCTCGTCGTCAACTTGAGGACGATGACTCTGACCTCACCAAGGCTTTCGAGGGCGCTCTCCTCCAGGTCTACGGAGGAGATGCCGGCGCTGTCATGGCTGCAGAGAAGCTGATCGAGGGTGCGGAAGAGGGAGTACCATCCACTGAGGGTGTGGTACTAACCGTTACCTGTAAGTTCCAAAGCCCATTGAGTGCGTCGCTTTAGACTGACTTTCTCTAGACTCCCAGGTCAAGCAAGCAGCACTCGACGAGGCCCCATTCGCCGCTGAAGAGGCTTGGGTCGACGACGTTGCGCAGTCCCAAGCAGCTGCCCCAGAGACTGAAGCTGTGTCCGACCCAACTATCGCCAACGCTACTCTCACTGAGATGGAAGCCGGCGCGAAGCCTCTCAACGAAACCACAAATGACGCCTCAGCTGCACCGGCAGCTTCCGGTATCGGAATGGAGTCTGCCAACGCTGCTGCAGAGGCTCAATGGGACAAGCAACCCACTGGCGGTGATGACCCGCTCACCGAATCCTTCGAGATGGTACCACGAGACCCCGCTGAGACTGAAACACCACACGCCGGTGCTGCAGTAACCAGCACCCAGAGCTGGGCCGACGATACCCCCGAGCCAAGCGCGGCACCTGCCGCTCCTACTCCCGCTGACGATGGCTTCTCTCAAGTTCAGCACAGCCGCGGCGGCCGGGGACGAGGTGGACACCCAGGTGGTGAGCGAGGTGGATACCGTGGCAGGGGTCGAGGCGGTCCTCGGGGCGATTTCCGCGGTGGTCGCGGACGCGGTGGCCGTGGAGGCTTCAGGGGTGGGCGCGGCGGTTTCCGCGGCGCTCCCCGTGGAGGAGAATCGTCATAGAGTCGATCAACACTTCCTGCAAAACGACCAGCACTTTTAGGGAACACTGATTGTGTAAGGAATCCTTGACACTCTATTTGGAGCATCTGAGCAGATGAAATAATGAAAGAGCTGGCAAGCCAATTGTGTTTAGTAGCATAGCATCGGTGCATAGGATCAACATTTTCTCGGGTATGGGACGCTGTACTATATTCTGGGTATGATCTGGCGCTTAATGAATGGCTTGTACAACATCAATTCTTCTCACTTTGAGTGATTGTCTTCGTGGTCTGTGTTGCGTCACTGTCGCGGAGAGATGGACGTTGTGCTAGAGCTCAGACAAGACAAGGGATGACGATGACTGAGCGGCTGCCCCTGGCAGTAGCCGCGTGTCGATCCGGGGAATTTTCATGGGGGAATGCG